TTTTGTTATTTCATTTAGCAGAACGGTCGTGGTATTGTATCATTGGATGGTTATGTGTCTATTTACTTTAGAAGGCCGTGTTGTCAATGCAAAACCGGATTTCAGCTACGAACCACAACCATACCTCAGTATTAAAGAAGGCTCATCAGTTTCAATGGCATGTCTTTTAAATAAGGAAGCAGCAGACTCGTTTAAAGTCGTCTGGACGAAGGACTCTTATTACATCGAAAATCAAAATCGTTTCTCTGTAAGTAAAGTTAACGATCGACAGTATACATTACAAATTGATCCTGTAAAGAGAGAAGATGAAGGAATATACAAATGCGTTGGTAATAAGGAAAATGGTACATTGTATGATACTATATTCACATCTGGATGTCAGTTGCTTGTGATAAAAATTCCTGGTCCTCAATATCCAGAAGTATGTCTCTCACAGACTCGGTACAATATCGGACAAAATATCATTGCTTATTGTATTAGTGAACGTGTCGACACTCCGTCAAATTTAACCTGGGTTAATAGTCCAGACGTAGGTATAATTGAGCCAATTGAAAATAGTTCTTATGTCGGTGTAAAGATTCGCTTTAAGGCTGTCGAGAAAGTGAATCAAACTACGATTCTCTGCAAAATGACTGTAGATGGTGTTGCTGTACCGAGGTTTAAACGTTCTATGCCGATCGTTGTCAATCCTATTCTACAAAAAGTTGTCACTAGTTTTGAAAGCGCATCCATCAGTGCAGTTGTACTCACAAACAGTTTATATAGTAGAGTACCGGTAATTGAAGACACAATTCCTTCAAATGCAGACGGAATTGAATACATGTCCTTAATAAAAATGTTTACATGTTTACTTGTGTTTTCGATACTATAGCCAAATAAAAACAATATTGATTGTTAATACTTATAATATTTCCATTTTTAGCCTTTTTGTAGCGTAGAATATTGCGTGTCCATACATGAAAAGCTATGTTAAGCAGCGTGTCATTTCCTGGTCGGTTTTACAAAACTTAGTGGAACTGGTCTAAGGTGATGGGCCAGTCTAATACAACAATAATACATGGTTATTAGACTCTTCTTTAAAAATAATGTCCAATCAACACATTTTTAGATAATTTTCATCATTTTACATTCTAGAAGTAAAAGTGCTAGCGCATCGGTTGTAGCTTGGACTCCCAACCTCGGGGGTTCGAAACTCTCGCTGTGCAAATCGCTTGTGTCCTTGGGCAAAGCACTTTATCTACGGTTGCCTCTCTCCATCCAGGAGTACAAGTGGGTACCTGGTAGGTTCCAACACAACTGCTCTGATTACTAGCTGCAATATTATGGAATAATAATAAAAATAATAATAATAATAATAATAATAATAATAATAATAATAATAATAATAATAATAATAATAATAATAATTTAATTTGATAATTTAATTTGGTGTTTAATATGTGTTCCATATGTGTTTGATCGGGGTAGTAATGTGAAGCGCTTAGACATATTACTATTTTTTTTTTTATTACTCTAGGCCAACAGACTGAAAGACATTGACGGTATAGGAAATTACACAGGGAAGTTAAAAAATATTTTCTCTCTCTTTCTTAAGAGAAATGAAATAATAAAATAATTATATCTCTACCTACCAATATTTTGTGTTACTTGGCATCATAGCTCAGATGGTAGAGTATCTAAACGGTAATCGGAAGATCTTGGGTTCGAATCCCCATTAGGACATACATTTTTCTCAAATATTTATTATAATCTTTAATCTTTTATTACAACCAGTCGAGGTGTATCTCCATACGGAAGTTATAATCATGTGATTTACCAATATATTTTTGATAAAATTATTACGACGTTGAAAATTTAATTCTAATCCAATACCGTGCTGGAAATTTTATATGGCAGGCCCAATCCACAGTTTGTTACTTTATTTCATCCTCTATTTTAGTGAAAATTCGCCATATCGAAAAGCATTACCCCGGTAATTTGGACCCATTGCATTTCAAATGAAATGAAACGAAAAGACAGAAAACGTCACGTGAAAAGCTATTACTATATTTTGTATTTCTGTAATAATAATAATAATAATAATAAAACAAAAAACGTAAACATTTTAAGTTTTGTACATTTAAAATTTGGCACAGTATATATACTGTCTCTTATACACATCTAGATGTGTATAAGAGAATATAGGCCTACCTGTATTTCCACAAATCAGTTTGCAGTCGAATTTTGTCTTTGATATTTTAGTCACAATCAGTGACCGGATTATACGACATATACTGTATTTGATTAAAGTAGATTATAGTTGCATTCTAACATGGTTTGCCTGGGTGTGAATAATAAGCTATCCAGAATTTAGTCTGTAAACAATATACCGGTATTTAATGATGATTCAAGTCTAAACATATTAATATTATTCTTACGTTTTTAAAAGTACTTTTATATACCCCTTTGGTTGAGTTTATTTTAAACTTTGTATGTAGTAAAAGTTTCGTATTTTTTATTCCTTACAGTTTGAACGTTTAGTGCAGAGTAAAGGGAATTTTTCGGAAGCCATGAGAAAAATAGTTTTGTGTATAGGCGGGCTATCTATGATGTATTAGTGTTGATAGGACCTGAAGGACAGTGCTTTGTTGGGAGGTATGCAGTAGAGGTATCTGTGGTTTACACCCAGATTGAAGTGTTAATTTTACCAGTGAACTGTATGAGGACATTGGTGAATATTACTTTCGATATCGTATAATTTAAAAAAATAGTTTTGTGTATAGGCGGGCTATCTATGAATGTATTAGTGTTGATAGGACTTGAATGTGCTTTGTTGGGAGGCATGTAGTAGAGGTATCTGCGGCTTACACCCAGACTAAAGTGTTAATTTTACCAGTTAACTGTAAGAGGACATTGGTGATTATTACTTTCAATGTTGTATAATTATTTTCAACCATATCTAATGCATACCGTATTTTTCAGGCTACCCATTGTACAACTTTATGCTATATTTTCTCGCCTATGATGCCGATAAAAAAAAATTGGCGTTTTTTTTTTAAATTAATTTAATGCACGTTTACGGATTATGGTTAGATACGGAAAGCCGTAACTATAGTTTTACTATAGTTAGTGATACAACTAGGTCTATTATTTTAATGTCGTGGGTTTAGTCTGTATTATTATAATTATTATTAACTGATTGTTATAGTTTTCATCATTTAATAAATGAAACTCTCCATCCGATGATGGTTTCTCAGTGTCGATTAATTTTATATGTGTTTCCCAGCCCGAGCAGGACATAAAGGCATATCCTGCAAGCCCAATCTGCACAGTGATTCTTGAAATTGCAGTGTATTTAAAGGTCATGATAATCGATATATAGCAAATATGTGAGTATTTCTGTGAAATAGTGGATCCAACTATACTATAACTAGAGTTTACAAGTGGATAAATTGTTTGCTTTTAGATAGGGTTTAATTCATGTTTGGCTTTTAATTCAGTGACTCGGCTTTGTATCTTTTGCTTTCTTTCGCATTAAAGGTTTGACAGGTTGAACTATTCGTTCCTTGTAAGTTTGAATTTGTTGTGAATGTACATTTGGCAAAAGTGGGTTTACATGTGACATTTCATTTAATGGTTACGAACGCAGTAATATTTTAGTTTGGATTGAATGGTGTAGGTGTGAATTAGATGAATTAATTTCTGCTTGGATGATTTTTTTTCCTGTATGATTTTTAACCAATGGTAGCTCCATAAATTTTCCGACGAAGGGTTCGACGTGTCCGACGGAGGGGTCCCAATCAAGGGGCCGACGAAGCCTCGGTCGACGGCCCGGAATAAAAAAAAATCTCCGGTAGGGTTCACGGGGAGAATTTTAATGGCTTATGGTCCAAAATGTGCTTTTAGACAATACTAGTGATTGGCATTCAAAATAAGGTTATTTTGATAGGAAATTTTTTCTTCTATTTTTTATCCGACGACCTAGTTGTTCGTTGGACGGGTCCTGGCCTGT